CCCCCCCCCCCCCCCCTCTCCCTCTCCCCCCCTCCGCTCTCTCTCTCTCTCTCCCTCTCTTTCTTTCTCTCCCTCTCTCTCTCTTTCTTTCTCTCCCTATCTTTTTCTCTCTCTTTCTTTCTCATTCCCCGGGTTTGGGAGTTGGGCCATGCCTGTCTTGTGCGAAAAAAGTGCTGGACCCACACACAGAAATGAATACAAAACGTCTCTACGACGTCATTTTCCGTCGCCCCATTTACTTAACCGCCTTGCAGATTTCGACCCACCGCATGGTCAATGATCGTCAACAACTATCGCGATGGAAACATGAGTGCACTCCCCCCCCCACCGCACGACCTTGCCCCCAGCACTGATGAAGTCCGATCTAGGGTCACGCATAAACCAATTCATCGGTCGACTGTAATGGGTAGGCACATGTCGGCATATGTAGCGCTGCTGCTGCTTTTCTTGACCGATGGCATCAACTCCGCGTATCCCGCAGGCGGAAGGACCGTGCGAAGGCGCCTTGAAGTTGGCTCAAGTGGACGCCTCCGCCCTCAAGGCCGTCCTGGTGATCGGAGGCTGCTCCCGGACGCCGGCACTCCAAGACCTCGCCTCCAAGATATTCGGAAAGGCCGGAGGCGGGGGCGGGGCGGGGGTGATCTCGTCTGCCGAGCAGTCGGACGAGATGGTGGTTCTTGGGGCTGCGCTCGAAGCTCGCCATCTCATCTACGGGGAGTAAATTTTAGTTGTTTTGTAGTTGAACTTGGGTGGAGAACGAAACAGATGGGGAGAGTACAAGTATAGTGTTTTTTGGTGGTGTACTGCTGTAGCGTGGGCGATTTTTGAGGTGTTGGGGGGCTCGTGTCTGGTGTGGGTTTCTATCGGAGCCGATCGGAATGTGGCGGTGTGGGAATCGGGTCCTCGAGGTGGTCGCGCTAGGTGTGAGAAAGACAGGAGCGCTGAAAGGTTTAGTTTTTTCGCAATCATGTGCGGAGAGATGTATGCGATTGATGTTTTGGTTGAGTTCGTCAGAATTATTGGAGTTCATTTTTGCCCGTCGGGGTTTTTGATGGGACGCGTATGTCGCCTATCTTTTTGACAACGAAGCTTCCACCTTAGAACCGGTCGCAGACTCAGCTGCAACAGCAACATCATCAACAGTAGCAACAACAACAGCAACAGCGGCAACCGTGTTGATACAACAAGCGCCCTCGGTTGTTGACATGTACACACAAAGGGGCATGTAGACGCGCGTGCTAAAAGCACGAGACACGACGGCCTATTTAATAGGTTTCAAGGCATCTCGCCGGTTCACCGGTTCACCTCGGTCATCCAAGAAAAGAGAGCGACCTTCCGCAACGCTAACAACGTTCGCTTTCGAACGGGTGGGTCCGCAAACTGCTCACCACCGCGAACGAAAGTCTGTGTGAGGGCTTGGGGAAACGTTAGGTCCCCGGCATTTTAGGTGTTGTGAGCTTGGGAAGCGTTAGGTCCCGCGCATTGTAGCTGTTGTTGCAGTATTTGCAACCTGGTGGAAGACCCTTGCATGAATCCCGATGGTTCGAAGATAAAGTAAAGGTGTGCGCGTTCTGGCCTCTCACTTTTCGGCGGCGGGTGGGTGAGTTCGGCGAAACACGCCCCAATCACAGCATGTTGATCCTTGCCGTAGAAATGCCATCACGGTGTTTGTATTTGACTTTTTATCTGATCTGAACAGCCGGTCTTGCGCACAGAAACTAATTGAAAGAAACCGGCGTGTCCAGTGGGCCGTGTCGAGTTCGGTCGGGCGCTGTTGTCGTATGGACGACGAAATTACCGGACGCATATCATGACCACCAGGATGTACGTGCATATCCTGCCCAATTAATGTTGAAGTGGCGTAATCTTGGTAGCTCCACCATAAACCAGAGACCCATTACTTTCTCCCTGGAAACGTCGCCAGTTCGTTTATGCAACATGCGAACGCGTTTCTCGTTTTGCCGATGACGAGGACGCTTTCAAGCCGCCTTTGTCGCACAGCTAGGCCGCACTCTGATATGAAAACAGCGGACGACACGTTGTGCTTTGTCCGTCTCCCACGCACCTACCATCCCCTCGGGAACCAGATGTGCTGATGATGGTAGAAGCAATAATATGTAATTTACACACGTTTGTCTTCCATCTCTCAAACAGACCACACTAAGCGACACCACGAAATGCTACACAAAAAAGGACCAGCGCCCCCCCCCCCCCCCCC